ATTAACGTGTTTTATATTTTTCACATGTAATTTTTTTCAAAATTAGTACTGCGTCTGAAAAACAGTTGTAATGTGTCTTACTGGCGAAATTATAAATATAAACAATGATTGCGCAAATAATTTATTTCAAATTTACTGGCATCATTCTAATATGTTTGATAAAAAGTTTTGATATTTAAATTAAGTTAATAAAGCCAATCAATTAAAATTAGATCGATAAATTTAAGAATATACAGCAACATATAAACAAATTAATTCGAGTACAGCTTTATAATACAATTCTCATCACAGTTGAGCTCAATTCGTTACAAAATCATCCCCAACCCTGCTTATCTCTAAAAATACATTTTCTTTCCTTCCGCTTTCGTTCTCCAAAACGACATCGGTTGCTCTTATTGCGAGATATCGATTTGTTGTTACACAACGTTGACACGGCGCGCCCGTCTTGTCGATGGATTAAAAAGAGGGAAGAGCCGTAATTTCCCTTCAAAAAGATATTGCTCCTTAATTAAAACGTCGCAACGAGAAGAAGTTGCAGGGGGAGGAGGTAGAACGACGCAGGACGAAGGAGCAGGAGTGGCGAGATAGTAGAGAAGAAGCCAGAGCCGACCGGACGACGGGGTCCGGGGTCACGGATGGGCGGCGGCAGGACTGGTTTCGGACCAGTCAAGAGAAGAAGAGGATCTCGTTGCTCTTTGCTCTATCAGCCCGGACTTTACGCGTTATACCGGGTGGGAAAGTCCGAAATCAGTCCCGCGATCGGTCAACTATCCGTGAGAAGATTGGATCTCGTGACAGGATCTCTTTAACGAAAATTATCGTCCTCTTTGTGCTTCTAAACGTAACTGGTAACGCAACGGGCAAGGCCATCGCATCATATTCATCCCTTTTCACTTCTTAGATTAGAAAAGGATTGGAGCACGTGAAATAAATCTCGGATAAAATATATGAGAAAGGCACACGCGATAAATATTATCACATCGAGGATCGAAGTCATAAAATTTTCTCCATCACGCCTTGCCCTATCCTAATTTCAAAGCTTCGAGCTGAAAATTTCACGCTAAACACGCGATGTCTGAAACGAGTCGCGAGAATGGGCGATCTTATCAGACACGCCGAAAATGCGTGCTGCTCGCTTTCGCAACTCGTGGCGTCTTCGTCTTAATATGTACCGTCGAAACAGAAGTTCAAGTAAACTTGGAGGCCCAGATCGGACTCGAAAGGACGTTGACCGATGGACATTGACCAGGAGAGCGGAGTCCTGGCTGGGATTGACGAGCATCTTCTTTCGCTCTTGGTCGCAATGGCAATTTAGAAAAAAGGAGACCAATCGCGACGGAACCCGTTAGAAGCGGATTCTCGAAAATCGGTTGTCCACCATTAAGCATCATTGAAGAAAAGAGAGTGCACTATTTTGAGCGAACGTATGAATAGCAAATGTAAAATTATCTCAGCAGTCTTGATTCTGCTTCTTACGCTACGCAAAACGCCACAAATATGTATAGATTTAAGATTAAAACAAATTCAAACCCCACTATATTCAACAATAGTTTTATTCACCAAATATTATTAATATATTATTAATAATCGCGTTGTAGAAGCAAAGTCCAGCAGTAATGAGATTATCGATATTTTTATTAAAAATATAAAGTTTTGTTACAGTATTAAATCTTTTTTCAATTAAAATTATTTTATAATTATATAAGCATGCCAAGTTTTCTGCTCTTAGTTAAATAGGTAGTTATATCAATTATCGCAGTTAACACCTTTTTCACTCTGTTTTTCTCTTTCTCTATTTATTCGTTGTTTTTATATCAAAAGTTCCCGGCGTATCCAAGATAATTCCACGTGTCTCATCTGAAAAGTAATTTCATCGCGATAGTCATTCCAATCACATTATGTTACATCGAGAGACCATTTCTTCTCGTGCTTGCTCACGAGTATCGAGAACAGTAATTTCAGAAGTAACTCTATCTCGTCGCAGAGGGAGAGAGAGAGAGAGACGAAGAAAAATGGAACGAAAAAGAAAAGGGAAAATTAAAAAAAAAAAGAAAACAAAAAACAAAACAAGGACGTCGCCGTGATGAAACAGGAAAGTTCTTAATAATGAGGAAACGAGGAAAAATTACTATTCGCGACGGTGTACCTCGGTCGGTCAACGCATAATGATCCGGTGCGCTCGTGTTATTCTCACATTCGCGGTGTGCTAGTTGCGCCAGAAACCTGCTTTCAGCCGAGAGCGGAAGCGAAGGGTGAACGCGGTGAAGCTTCTCCTCTTCGCCTTCTCTTCGCGCGACTTCGAACCGCGTCAGCTTTCCCGACGAGCGAAAGAGAGGGAACGAGACGCGACGGAAACTCTCATGATTAATTATACTCGAAATTATATATACGCGAAAACAACCGACTAGAGAAGAAACAAAAGTGACGATACGACGAATGATGAATTAACATGACCGCCTTCCTTTGCGCCTATATTCGCAATATCTTCCCAATATCTTTGATGAATGAAAGGATACACTTGGCCGCAAAAAAGTACATTCGCGAGAGAATCAGCTCTGAAAACTCGATCGTGGCAGCAGCACGCAAGAATTCTCTTGTCTCTGCAACTGACACGTTTGATCCATTTCATCCAATTAGATGTTTTTATTTTATTTGTATTTTGCTTATTGTCGATCTTTGATTTGTCACACTGCTGAAGACTAGGTGTAACTATATTTTCTATTTGCGAAGCGTTGGCTTTTCCCTTTAAACTTATAGCGATACGTAACGTTATTCCCCGATGCGAAGAACATTGCGGTCCTTGGGGTTAGAGGAGCAATTCAATCGGCAGCGAGAATTTATGTACACGCGAATAAATCGTAATGTGTACTTTAATATCGCTCAAAAGCGGTGCACATGCAAAGAGAGGAGCACGAGTAACGAATTTAGCATGCCACAATCCGTTAGTCTCTCGTTTATCTTTTTTTCTCTTCTCTTTCCGTTCTCATCTTGCGCTCTCTCTCTCTCTCTCTC